AGGAGTGAGAAGGCGAGGCTGCTCCAGACTGCGGGTCTCAGGACAGCCTCCCCACACATAGACTTCTGTCTTGACGGGCATTCCAAGCCCCCTTGTAATTTTCCCGTAGAACTCATGAAAATCAGCAAGAAAAAAATCAAATAACTATTAAAAAGTGGGCAAAGGACTTGAACAGAAACTTTTCTAAGGAAGACAGAAGAACGGCCAACAAACATACGAAAAATGCTCAACATCTCTAATCATCATGGAAGTGCAAATCAAAACCACAATGAGATATCACTTAACCCCAGTGAGAATGGCCTTTATCAAAAAGTCTCCAAACAATAAATGCTGGCGTGGATGCGGAGAGAGAGGAACACTCCTACACTGCTGGTGGGACTGCAAACTAGTTCAACCTCTGTGGAAAGCAATATGGAGATACCTTAAAGCGATACAAGTGAATCTACCATTTGATCCAGCATTCCCATTGCTGGGCATCTACCCAAATGATCCAATGACACTCTACAAAAAAGACACTTGCACTCGAATGTTTACAGCAGCACAATTCATAATTGCAAGTCTGTGGAAACAGCCCAAGTGCCCATCAATCCAAGAATGGATTAATAAAATGTGGTATATATATACCATGGAGTACTATTCAGCTCTAAGAAACAATTTGGATAGAGCAAATCTTATATTTTCCTAGCTAGAGCTGGAACCCATACTACTAAGTGAAGTATCCCAAGAATGGAAAAACAAGCACCACATATACTCACCAGCAAACTGGTATTAACTGAGCAGCACCTAAGTGGACACATAGGTACTGCAGTAAATATACATACATAATGAGTGAGATGTGCACCATCTGGGGGATGGTCATGATGGAGACTCAGACTTGTGGGGGGAGGGGGGAAAGGGAATTTATTGAAACCTTAAAATCTGTACCCCCATAATATGCCAAAAAAAAGAGATAGATTTGGAAAAATGGTTTCTTGGCAATATTTTTAGATTAGAAATAAATTAGTGATTAAAGATAGAAACCTTAAAATTTGTACCCCCATAATATACTTAAATTAAAAAAAATAGAATTAAAGTTAAATTTCTTCAAGATGCCATAACAATACCTAGCAGCAAGATTTCTTTTATATAGAAATCTAAGAAAATTTCTTTTATATAGAAATCTAAGAAATAAAACCCCAAACACATGGACTTTCAAGAATTATTTAAGAGGCACTGAAAACTTCAAGCTAAAAGTAGATTTTGAAGACCCCAGGAGGAGCAAGTACAATCAGCAATTATCTAACAATGAGAATCAGTATGTAAAGGTCCTTTAAGTTTTGTCTCGGGGGGCAGATAAGGCGGTTCAGCCCATCACCTGTGCCGCCCACGTGGTGGTTAGGGGTGTGGCACCTGCAGTCAGACTGGCAGAGCTGCCTTTTAATCCCAGAGTTGCCCTGAGCAGTTTGTTTGTGAGCTTGGGCAAATGACTTAATTCTCTAAGCCTCAGTTTTCTCATCTACAAAATGGGAATAATAACAATAGTACCTGCCCTACCTTCATCCTCTTATGGGCACTTGTGAGGATTAATCAAGCTAACACAAGCAAGCTTTCAGATGGCCCTGTCTGGCAGTCAGCACTGACACATGTTAATGGTTATTGTTATTAGTATTTCTACTTTTACTATAAACCAAGGATTTTCTGTAATGCTGACATATTCAAGGACATTCAGGAAGAGCTCTTTTTCGAGGGGATAAAGGGGAAAAAGTTTGTTGCTCAAGAGCATTAAACCTGTGGATTTAAATTCTACATATCCTTCAAATCTCTCATCTGATATTAAAACTTCCCCAAGACTTGCCTCTATTCCCAATTTCCCACAGCAGGAATTTTGCCAGCTCCGTTTATTCTGTCCTAAATTTCCCTTTAACCGCATGTGCACAGTTCATGCCATGCACCTCATTTTTCTGTCTCTCAGAGCTTGACGCATAATATGCACATGGTGGGTAAATAATTAAGAATAGGAGTATATGTATGTGAAGGTCACCGTTAACTCTTTTCTCTTTCTTCCTCCTCCAATAACAGCAATCTTAATAACTAATAAGAGCTTCTGGTCACCGAGTGCTTCCTGTGCCTGGCACTGGGTGGAACACATTGAACGTCTCACCTCCCCCTTTTCTGCCCCAATACAATGCAATTGAGTGCTCCTGTTATCAAAGATTCCCCAAATCAGAGGTTTTCTGGGCTTTTGAAGTAGAGATTCTTAAGGACAGGGGCTTGTATCTTGAAAGGGGGTTCACAGTTTGAAAAACTCCCTCCAGGTGTTTCTGATATATCTTCCAAGGATGACCATAACCCACAGTAAGAAATAAATATTGCACTGCAAATCAGGTATATATCTGTAATGTTTTCATGAAACAATGCTTAACGTTCATGAGAGGCTTTCTGATGTTTTTCTGTTTTACTTAATTCTTTCATTAAAAACGATGGTTGTGAGAATGTGGGGAAATGGGAATATTTATACATAGCTAGTGGACATGTAAAATGGTTCAGTTTCTTTGGAAAACAGTTTGATAGTTCCTTAAAATCTTAAATACAGAGTTACCAAATGATCTAGAAATTCCATCCCTAGGTATGTATCACAGAGAAACTAAAAAAAAAATATATCTATATTAAAAACTTGATATGAATGTTGATAGCAGCATTATTCATAGTAACCAAAGATGGTAACAACCAAATGTCTATCACTGAAGAATGAATAAGCAAAATGTACCATATCTATACGGTGGGCTATTATTCAGTCATAAAAGGAACAAAGTACCGATACATGCTGTGACAGAGATGGCCCTTGAGAACATTATGCCAAGTGAAAGAAGCCAGTTACAGAAGACCACATCGCGTGTGATTTCGTTTATGTGAATGGTCCAGAATAGGCAAATTGACAGAGACACAAAGTAAACTCGTGGGGGAGGGGAGGTGTGGAATTTCTTTTTGGGGGTGAGGAAATGTTCTAAAACTGGAATGTGGTAATGGTTGCAAAACCCTGTGAATGTGCAAAACCCCCACCGAACTGCACACCTTAAAGGGGCGAATGTATGGTGCGTGGATTATACTCAGTGAGGCCGACTGAACGTGAGGGCGGTGATGGGCAAGTTGATTCCGCTGCCCACACAGCCGAGAACTGTTGTCCCGCAGTGCGCTGTGCCGCCCACGCTCTCCATGGGAGCCGCCGCCTGACCAGGGAGCCGCAGCTCCGGTGGGTGGTGGACAGGCAGGTGGGGGCCGCGGCGGGAGGCACGAAGGCCATGTGCAGCACCTTCCTCCACGCCCGCCATCTTGGCTGTGTCTGCGCAGCGCATGCCCTGCTACGAGACTGCACTTCTCAGCCTTCCTCACAGCTGCGGTGGCCAAGGAGAACACAGCCCTTGGTGAGATTTCTGGGGAGTTCTTCCTTCCAATTATTTTTTATTGTGTTAAAATACATATAACATAAAAACTACCATCTTAACCATTTTTAAGTGTGCTATCCAAGCAGTGTTAAATACATTCACAAAGCTGTGCATCTCCACCAGCACCGCCTCCGGAACTCTCTTCACCCTACAGAGCTGCACCCACCGAGCAGTAACTGCCCACGTGCCTGTGCCCAGCCCCCGGCAGCCACCACTCCACTGTCTGCTTCTAGGATTTTGCCCATTCTAAGTTCCTCAAAGACGTGGAATAGTGTTTGTCCTTCTGCTTCTTTCACTTGGCATGATGTCCTCAAGGGTCATCCATATTATAGCACATTACAGAATTTCTTTCCTTTTTAAGGCCGAATAACATTCCATTTTGTATACACATACACACACACACGTGTGTATATATACACACATACACCATGTTTTATTTGTGTATATATACACATACATACACCATGTTTTGTTTATTTGTGTATTTATACACACACACCATGTTCTGTTTATTCGCTCATCTGTCGATGGGCACTTGGATTGTTTCCACATTCTGGCTATTGTGAATAACAGTGCTATGAACAGGGATGTACAAATATCTCTTTGAGACTCTGATTTCAATTCTTTTGGATATATACTCAGAAGTGGAGTTGCTGGATCACATGGTAATTCCATTCTTAATTTTTTGAGGGACCACCATACCATTACCCACAGCAACTGCACCATTGTACATTCTCACCAGCAGGGCACACGGGTTCCAATGTCTCCACAAGCTTGCCAACTCTTACTTTATTCCTTTTCTTTTTTGGTGACAGAGTCTTGCTCTGTCACTGGACTGGAGTGCAGTGGCATAGTTATAGTTCACTACAGCCTCAAACTTCTGGGCTCAAGCCATCCTCCTGCCTCAGCCTCCTGAGTAGCTGGGACTACAGGCACGTGCCACCATGCCTGGCTAATTTTCTATTTTTAGTAGAGATGGGGTCTTGCTATGCTGCCCAGGATGGTCTTGAACTACAGGCCTCAAGCAATCCTCCTGTCTGGGCCTCACAAAATGCTGGGATTATGGGCGTGAGCCACCACACTTGGCCCTGACACCTGTCATTTTCTATTATTTGAGAGTAGCCATCTTAAAGGGTGTGTCTGGGAGAGACTTTCAGGAGTAAAGTGACCCTTTTGCTTCTTTCTTCTCTTCCTTCTCCAAATTCAAACTCAAGTGCCCAGCCTGCAGAAGCCACCTTGTGACCCTGGGGAGGAACCAGCTCCAGGGCAAGGGAAGAAAGGAGAGAGAAGACGGAGTCCCTGAAACTGTCTTGAAACCACCTCTACTGTCTGCCCCTGGACTTCTCTGTGACTGAATAAATCCCTAATTTGCTTACGCCACTGAGACGAGTCGCTGGTATTAGCAGCCAAAGCGACAATCCGCCATCTAAGTGAACAACCCTCCACTGCACCAGAGCTGAAGACAGACCGTCAGGAAGGAGCAGCTCTCTCCCTTCCCGCCGGCCTTTCCGCCTCCCCTGCCTTCTGGAAGGGCTTCTCCCCAAGTTCCATCTCCAAAAGGAAAGGGGAGCCACGTACCTTGTGATCTTAAATATCCTCAGCAGCCGGACGCATCTCAGCACGGAGATGCCCAAGGGAGACATGACCTTGGTCTCCACCAGTATGGTCTCCAGGATGCCCCCGCACACGATGAAGCAGTCAAAGCGGTTGAAGAGCGACACGAAGTAGGCCTGCAGGCCCAGGCTGTACATCTTCAGCAGCATCTCCGCAGTGAACAGGGCCAGCAAGGCCTTGTTGGCTGTGTCTGGAGGCCCAGGAGGAGGCAGGGAGGAGGAAAACGCCAATTATCACCCTGGAGAAGAAGACCTGACACCCACTCCCACCTCGACACCACCCCTGTCTCCTCCGGCCAGAGCTAGACGATTGGGGCCAAGCCCATGGGGAGGGGCTGTCTCGTCGGAACCACCACAGATGTTTCTCAGAGGCTTGGCATGCGTTTTCTTCTCTACTCCACGCAGCAGCCTGTGAGGCTGGCGCTGTTAAAATTGTGCGTGCTTTTCAGAGATGGGAAGCGAGGTTTGGAGAGGCGAGGATCTGCCCGGGCCAAGACTGGGAGTTGAGGCTGGGCCGTCTGAGCTGACCTCTTCCCCACTGGCCTCACTGCCTCCCAGGACCGGGAACGGGAGTCTGCTGGACTCCCAGGGCTGATGCCGAGCCCTGGCTAGTGGGGCCCCTTCAGGGGTCCCGGGAAGGGTGAGGAGCATTAACAGCCCACTGAGGACGCTTGTGCTCGGGCTACCGCTGACATCTTCCCTGTCCTTTTGTTCGTGTTGTCCTCGCATGTTCTGGCTGAGGCTCCCTGGAGGTCAGGGGTATCTGGAAACCACTCCGGGAAGTTGGCAGCCAAGAGTCTGAGATAACCAAACAAGCTGCAGCTTGTGTCATTGTCACCCGGACCCGACAGTGACTGTGGGGCAGGCAGATAGTGTGGGCCCGGCTGGGTTAACCACGCTTATTCCTAACGAGGCTGTGTATTTTATCGGGAGGCTTGGGAGCTGCCAGGCCCTTGGCATCTCCAGCATGGTGCCTGCCAAGAGCCACGCCACTGGCCATGTTCCCATTGACCTTCTGCCTGTGTTTGTTCCCTCCCAGGACCCAGCAAGGAGTTAGCAGGAGGAAAGCGGGACAGAGCCCAGCCGCCGCTCACCTTGGACCTCCGTCAGCCAGTGGGGCTGGTTGTAGTGCTCGGAGGCAATGGTGAGTGTGTTCAGGAAGACCAGGAAAATCACCAGCCAGTAGAAGACGTTGGACTTGACTGCAGCACGGCACTTTCTTCTGCAGAACCGATTCCATCGGCGCCAGTATCGGCTGGAAAAAAAGCACAGGGTTAGCTGTGAATTCAGATTTCTTCTAATCGGAGACGTGCCACTGTGGTTCCTTTCAACGTGACTGACCTGGCCTTAGTAGAGCAGCCCAAGGAGCCGGCTTCCCGCCCGGCTGCCCAGACCACACCCTTTAGCTGTGGGGCCTTGGGGATGTCCCTGAACTCCTCTAAGCTTCGGCTCTCTCACCTGTGGCATGGGATTAGGGCCCTCCCCACGGGACTGCTGCAGGGATTGATCAAACACTTTATGATGTGTCTGGCTGCACTGAAGTTGAAGGTGCTTTATAAATGGAAACGTTTGTGTTTTCTAATAATGGCATTATTAGAAATAGTGTTGTAAATATCAAGAGCTTTATTATTAATAGTGGTGCTGCTGCCTGGTATCCTTTAGGCATTTCTCACGCCTTCTGCCCATTCTTTAACTCCACAAAGCAGGTTATACTATCCTGACCTTGCAGAGGGGAAGACTGAAGGCTGTGGTGGGCGAGTGCCTCGGCCAGTGTCACAGAGCGGCAGGGCCAGGTGAGCTTCCTGCCCCGCCCACACCCTGGCCTACCCCGAGATGCCTTGTCTGTGCGGTGTAGGGGCCATCTGGAGCACAGGCTTTTACGAGGTTATAGAATCTTTTGAGAATCTGATGAGCGTGTAGATCCTCTGCTCAGAAAAGCAGACGTGTCCCCCACACACACCCTCACGTGCAAGTCGTGTAGCACACGGGCCCTGACGCTCACCCACTGCCGTGCATGTCCCCGCAGTCTCGTGGTTAGGACTGCTGTCAGGGACTTTCAGACCCAGCCGTGCCTTGGCTCACCTGGGGAAGCTCCAAAAACCCTCTGAACAACCCCACCAGTCTCCAGGCCCCAACACCAAACCAAGTAAATCTGATTCTCTAGGGGCTGGGCTTTTAAATATTCCCCACATACCACTGGCATTCTGAAAGATTCCCTGGTGGCGCTAATGTCTAACTATGGCTGAGAACCATTAGCTAGACAATCCCAAAGAAACACACTTTATGATTCTCTGCTGGAGGGGTTTACAGTTTGTCCCTAATTTCACACTCTTGATACAGAGAAAATATTCAGCTGTATTTGGTAACTCAGGAGACACCGTATTTAATAAATGCCTACAGGGGTGGAGGAGAGAGGGAGGGGCGGCTTCAGAGAGCTGCAGGGGGAGGCAGAGAGCCCTGCGGAGGGCATGGGAGGAGAGGGCCCTGGACTCCAGAAACCGAACACCCCACAAAACTGCCCGCCTGTCGCCTTGCAGGCCAGGGCTAGTGTGAGGGGCGCTCCCCGGCTGTACGGGTTGGAAGTGACGTAGGCAGTCGCTTGACCACTGGCAAAGAGGACCCTGCTTTGGCAGCAGTCTGCAGGCAGAGCCAGCGGACTCTGAGGCGAGTGGCTCTGTGGGGGGGGAGGCACAGGAGCACTGCCAGGACATCCAGCTGGGCAGTCTGGCAGGCGGCACCCTCAAACAACGTGGGCGGGAGGGGCAGTGCTCCGGGCAGGGCGGCTGCACAGACAGATCCAGCAGGCACTGAAGACAGAGCCCCTGCTTGGGGGGCGAAGAAGGCAGGAGGAGAAACAAAGCAGAATCTTGGAACAGTCGTCCATGAGTATTTGCACTTTTCCATAAAATGATCTCCTTTCTATGAACCCCCCTCGTCTAGAGAGACGTTCCTCTAAATAAGCATGCATGGTCTGTCCCGGAGCAGAGAGCTGCCCACCTCACACCGCAGCCCACTGGTGGGTCATGAAATCTGCCCAGGAGGTCATGACTGGCACGGAAAACAGGAATACAAAGGAAAATATCACAGTGCATATCATATAGTGAGAAAATTGTTTTTAAATAAACAGTAAGGAAAAATATTTAAAATAAAACTTTGTTTCAGGTGTGTGTGTGTGCTGAGTCATGATGTAAACACCGGCCTTCCACTTCAGGGCAGTGAAAACTGAACCAAGGCCCTACACCCTAGAGCAGGGCCCACGGCACGAGCGTGCCCTCCCATGTGCTGGCTGGGAGGACCGAAAGCCTTCAGAGTCATTTCCTCTGCGTGCCGCGTTGGCGGCGCAGCACACGCAACTCATGGGGAAAAGCTGTTCCGTGCATGGCGTGTTCCTTCTCAGCCCCTGGGTCGCGCAGCACTGTCCTCGGGTGTGCCCTCCTTGGGCACAGGGCCAGCTGTGTGTATTCACACTCTGCTGCTCAGCCTTCATCCTTTACTTCCAGAGCGGAAGTCCCTCCAAACATCACCAAATTCCAGCATGCCAGGGACAATGATTTCCCAAGGGTCCAGGGATGGGGACCTCTGCTGTATGGACTCCTCCACCGACCCCCAAATCGCCTTCTGGGGCAACCTGACTGAATCCATATTTTTACTCTGTCATTTTCCTACCTATGGTCTGCTACAGAAAATCCTGTTACCAAAGCTTTGTCAGAATCTGTGATGAGATTAGGAAAGTGAGGCGTAATCTACGAGGGGTATTCTTTCCTGAGAACTGCAGGGAGAACTTGGTTCTTGGCCTGAAGAGCAGGGAGGGAAGAAAGGACTCGTCTGGGCAGTGCTCTGATCTGACCCTCCACCACCGGGCGCTCGGAGGCCCTCTCCAGCGAGTGCAGACCTTGCCCGGGAGACTCACCTGCCACCTGGGGAATCCACTACCTAGCCAGGAAAGACGCCAGGTTTGCAGATGCTCCCTAGAGCCCTGCGCCCTTCAGACGCACCACCCTGGGCACGAGTGTGGAGAGAGAGGTGGAAAGCAGGACGGAGAGTCCCGGGGGGTCCTCGCCGGATCTTGGTGCTCTGCAGGCCTGCCCTGCCAGCACATGGCTCTGCTGCTTTCCGTGACTGTGACTATAGATATGGTAAGATAGTCCTTTTTCCCTACGAAAATGAATTTTTAGGACAAACTCATATCTGATCTTAAATAGCTTATGTTCTATTTACAAAGAATACTTTTCAAATAGATATACTCTCAAGTTACAGAAATCACTGAAAATTGTTCCTCACAGTCCGAAGCAACCAAAGGTGCCCTCTCTGATACCAAGAAGTTGGTTAAGTCCCTGGTCCGGCTGGACGCCGGTGCTGCGTGGCCAGGCCTTCGCGTGGTCTGCAGCTGCTCTGCACAGACCCCGTGGCCGCGTGGCGGCTGGACGGGGCCCTTTCGGGGCTGCGCCTGCGCGCTCCTGCAGCGCTCACGTGGGTCTGGGCGGGGGGCGGGTAATTTCTCTCCAGAGAAAGTATTTAAAGATAATTATACACCTCCCACTCTTCAAAATATAGCTTTCTTGACAACTGGTTTCCTGGCAACACTTCCTACTGTATAATAAGTGTAATGGTTTATTAGAATGTGTAAATTTATTTGTGTTTACACATGCATGGAGGATATAGAAATTAAATGATAAAACAGGGAGGAGAAATTTGCCTGCTATTCATGTTTCCTTCGCACTAACTGGAAGTCATTTACTCTAGAAATAGAACCTTCCATATGCAGACAAAGGAGAGAGGGATGGATCTGAATGTGTCTCATCTACTTCCATGAACTTCCACATCCCGCACTCCATGGGAAATCTCTGCCCTCGCACCCTGTCTCTGCCTAACCTTCTCCCAACTCCGGGCCTCGCTCTTGCCTCTTCAGCTCACAGAACGTCCTCCCAGCCACCTGCCTCCGTCCTGCCCGCGACGAGGCTCACACTGACGACCTTTGCTCGCCTTGCTCCCCTTGGCACTCCCGTAGCGCTTACTGTCTGCGTTACTCACTGTTACACTCAACACCAACCTAGGATGTTCAACAGGCAACACAGCAGACACAAGCCTTGTCTGCACAAAACCACACAGAGACAAGCCACTCAGTGTGCAGTCACAGCAGGGGGTGCTAAGTGCACAGAAGGACATCTTAGCCAGGAAACGTTCCCCAGAGGAAATGACTTGCTGTTTCCTTGTATTCAGTTATCTTTTATTTGTATGGTTCCTGCCTGTCCAACAATGAGGCCCCTGGGAGGAAGTGGTTGTGCCTTTCACTCAGACCGTGGCACTCAGCACAGCCCACCCGCTCGGAGCCCTGGGCTGAGAGGCTGGTTGTGCTGCAGAGACGGACTCTATGTACTAGCTCCCCGTGGAAGACAAGCTCTCGTGACCCAGGGCAGAGGAAGGGAGAGCAGAGGGCAGAGCTGCCAGGACGGCTGGCTTGGTGCAACTGCCGACAGGCGGCTGAGGAGCAGTGTCAAAGTGACGGACACTGCAGGCCCTTTCCAGGGGCTAGAGTAACTTCCCATCTTTTCTTTCACAGAACCAAGAACAAAGGACATTAAACATCACTAAATTTCATTCTTTTATAAATGACTTAAAAAGGGACCACTGGAGACTGGGGCAGCTTTGGATCTGTGCTTGTTGCTGCGGCGTGTCGGGCACAGTGCTGGAGGCACACTCCACTGAGGGCTGGGCCAGCCCACGGTTGAGTCCTGCCAGGGCCATCTCAGAACTCCATGAAGTTGACATTCAGAAACTCTAAAGGTTATCCAATCAATCCCTTCCGGTTGCAAAAGACTTTCTGAATCTTTTTTTTCCATGACTGTTCACATGCTATTTTGAACAGTGAGCTCCAAATGTTGCCAATTCCCTATTTTAACTAATTCCTCTAACTAGAGACCTGGATTACCAAGATAATACCCAAGTATTGCCATAATGAGCCAATTAATTTGGTGAATTTTCTGTAAAAGTTCCATTTTAATATTTGCTTTAAATAAACCGTGACTTGGTATTAGTCAGTTCTATATTGGAATAGATCACTTTCAAGCTTAAATTCTGTTGGCATTATTAAACTGTTTCATCTCAGAAAATGATTAAAAATACTTCGATAAATTTGATGGCATTTTCAATCTATTGCTAGCCTTTGAGAATCCCTAAACAGACACCATCAGTGGGTGCAGAATCCAGATTAGATGGTTGCTGTCTGCTATCTGCTCAGAATCTCTAGGGTGACACTGTCCCATGTGGCAGCCGCTAACAACATGTGGCTATTGTCCACATGAAATGTGGTCAACCCGAACTGAGATGTGCATTAAGTATAACATACACACTGGATTTCAAAGACTTTGTACAAAAATATGAATGTAAACTATCTCATTAATAATTTTTTATATTAATTACATATTGAAATAATATTTTAGAGACACCAGTTTAAATAAAAATGTTAAGATTAAGTCTTCCCGTTTCTTTTTACTTTGTTAACATGGTCACTGAAGTCATCCACTGGGTGCCCGAGAGGCACCAGCTCTGCAAGAACAGGGACCACATTCTGGGGCAGAGCCTCATCACGAGGTGGCAGCATGACTGGCAGCAGGCCTGGGTATGAGTCCTGACTTGGCCACATGCAAGCCCGTGACCCTGGGCCTCTCTAGGCCTCAGGATCCTCATCCGAAAATGTGTTTAAACAACAGTGCCGACTTACTAGTAATAATAAGCCGTTGGGGAGTAGTACAGGTCTGCTCCCCTCCCCTGTTTCTACTGCGTCCTGAGTGGCGGCTGAAGGACAGACCCTTCCCAGAGGTCAGTGACCGGGCCACATGGCCGGTGCGCAGCAGGGCGAGCAGTCTCCAAGCCAGGAGCGCAGAGGGAGGCTGACAGGCACACCGGCCGCTTCCTGGCTTCTAAAGCACAGGCAACGCCATGCATCAGTGGGTGAAAACTGTTCCCACGGGCAATCTCTTGCGTTAGCAAGAGAGTCCAACTTGTGTGTGATTTTCTCTCCCATACTCCAGATCATGTTCATTCATTCATTCATGATTCACTCATTTGCATGGAATGAGAATGACATTTTGGAAGTATTTTCAAATGTATTTTTCTATCTTTTCTCTTATTGTGTGGGGGCTTTGGAACTGCTAGAAGTACAACAGGCTTTCTCAGCTTTGGCTGTCAAATTAGATGCTTTGTTTGGATCTGTGTCAAGCCTATTGTCTTGCTGGAGCAAGGCCACTCCTCCGTTCATTCACTCCTCAGCAAACGCGCTGTGATCAGGTCCATTATGTGCCAGCCACTGCTCCAGATGCCGAAGACAAAGCAGTAAAGTCCAAGCGTCACTGAGAGAGGAGTTTTCATATTTCTAGAGCTCCTTTCATGTAATAAGACCTAGGTCTGCTGGGCCCGACCCTAGGTTTTTACGTAACAGGGTCTTGGTTTGAGACAAGAGGAAAAGGAGAAAAGCCTGCACCCCCAGCCCCAGCAGCTCATGGGAGAACGAGGGCGTCAGCGTGGCACAGAGAGTCGGCACGAGGTCTTCACTGAACTCTCAGCCCTCAGCACCAAGGCCCAAGAGGTTGGGGTGCTGCTTTAGAGACGCCCTGACCGTTGGGAGCCTCTGCAGGCCCTGGGGGAATGTCACCCCGTAGCCAGGAGCTCCAGCGGGCTGGTGTGGGGTGGGTGGGGCACAGGTAGGTAGGTGCCCTGTCATAGCCCCTGGCTGCCCTGCTCTTTCCGGGGAGTGAGGGACCTGGAGGTGTCTGTGCGAAGGTGAGGGCTGGAGGCATCCACAGCCAGTGGCGCGAAGGGCACAGGGCACAGGGCAGAGGGCAAGGTGGGGATTTCAAGGCCAGAGGTGAATGGGGGCAGGGCACTAGTGGGGGATGCCCAGCGAGGTGAGCCTGTAGGCACTCCTTGAGCAGGGAAGTAGGGTCCAGCAGGCTCAAGACTCCAAAGCCAGTTCTCACCAAGCCCCTTGCCCCGGGTGTCCAGACTCATGCCCAGGAGGAGGTGGGGGAGGAAGTCTGGGAGACTCCATGTCACCTTTAGGGACCATTTAAAATACAGCCTTGGGCTACATTCACCCAGCTGGGCTAAAATGCGGTGTCACTTACGCTCCTGAGACATAATAAACAAGGCTAGGGAGTCAAGATTAGCTCTACCAATATTTTTGGCATGCACAGGATTTGTGGGAATGAATTCACATTCCCCTCCACACACTCATCCACTCATCCCTACATCACACACGCACGGACAGTCCACCCTGGACAGACGCTAGACAGACGCTGGACAGACACTGGACAGATGCTGGAATGCCTCTGAGGCCTCAGAGCCTCAGGAACAGGCCTGTGAGCCAACAATTAGAATGCAACGCAGCCCAGCCGGGTCAGCGCTGTGACAGAGGTGCCAGCAAAGCATCCTGGGGATAGGCCGTGAGCAGATCCCCTGGAGTCTGCAGAAAGTGTCATAGAGGCAGCGACGTGTGAGATTCTTGACAAAAGTCTGGGTTCCTGAAGACAGGGCACGTGCAATTTAGGCGGAGCAAAGGCTCCGCGAGGAAGCCTCCCTGGTGCGGGGACAGGGAACAGCTGGGTAACTGTAAGAATCCCCTGTAGTGGGAACGAAGGGCATTTGCAGGAAGTGCAGGAGGCGAGGCTGGGGGCAGATGGTGAAGACTCAGGGTCCTCTGGAAGGTTCTGACACTGTCACTGAGCAGTGACACAGACAGGTATCACAACCCTATGTGCTCTCCATCACCCTTGAAGCTCATATCTCACCATGTTCTATAAACGTGAAGTAGGTCAACATAGCCACAAAGGTTCCCTTATTGCTGAATTTAACTGGACTTCACCAGTTAAGACACGTTCAGTCCGACAACCTTGTAGGGATGGCACTGCCCAAAGGACGGACAGTCGGGATAATTCAACCAACATCTACCCCTGAATTACTCCCCAGTCTGATTCACACACTTCTTGACTGATGCCCAGAAAGCAGCAGCTACCCCCTTGGAACCACATCCCTCCCCCAGGCCACCCAAGGGGCGAGGACAGAGCTGTGGGCAGGAGGGAAGGAGGGCGGCCGCATCTCACTCACCTGAACTTTGATTTGGAGATCCGGTGGCTGAAAGAGAAAAAGGACACATTACCAAAGGACACACACACGCTTTCATCTGTGTGCAGCTGTTAGCAGTCCCAGGGAAGTGTGGTGTCTCCAGGTCGCCGTGCACGGGCGCGGAAAGGGTGGGTGGTGTGTGTCAGAACAGCTTGGGAGGGAAGGAACATTGCGTGCTCATCTAGCTGCAGAGCCTGAGGTCTGGCCCAGCTGGCACGCGCATGTCTAGCATCTTCTAAGTATAGACACAGTCCTCACTGGAGGGGCAGCACCGTCCTCAGACCACCAGGGTCTGCCCCACGAGTTCAGGTTGGGAAGAGGTGCACCCTGAGAAAGGCCACGGAGGAAGGGAAGGCCTCTCCTGAAGGCAGGAGGACCCCACTGTGGAGGCCGGAACTCCCGGGCACAGCCGCCATGGCTGTCTGCAGAAGCGCAACCACAGTGGGGTTATGAGTGGCGCCGGCAGAAGGAGCCAGCCGGAAATGGAGCGGCCACCCAGCTGCCAACAGCCTGGAGAATCAGCTGGGCTTCCAAGGAGAGACCCCCACGCGGCCCTGAGGCCTGGGGGTGTCTGGGCAGAAGCACAGGGCAAGTGTGACGGTGGCTGCCTGGAAGGGTCATCATATGGGACAGGAGGTTCCACTGAAAGGCGGGACCCTCAGGGAGGTCCTGGGACTACCTAGTTCATCAGGAAGGCATCCAGAGGTGGCCGGGAGCAGCGGGCAAGAGAGAGCCTGTAAAAGGGGCGTGTACGCGCGAGGGGCAGGGAGTGGGAGAGAGGAGAGGATGTCAGCACAGACACGGAGGCTGGCAGGCACACGCCAGCTTGGCTTCTGTGCTGGGACAAGGGAGCAAGCCCCGGAGGGTGCAGGTGGTGATGCCGCCTGGCTGGACAAGCACAGGACAGAGCTGGAGTCACAGACGGAGGAGGGAACAGAGATGGCAAGAGAGACGAGGAGGCGCAGGAAGCCAACGGGAGAGGGTAGTCTGGGCAGTGACTGCCTCCACTGTGCCACCCCCGTTGCAGAGCGAGCCATGTCGCAGAGGCAAGAAAACATCAACCCCTCTCATTACTTTTTATTAAAGAAAAATTAAACCAGAAGACGTGACAGGTGGCAAAGGCATCTTGCATGAGATGATTATATCTCTGGGGCACTGAGAATCAGAGCCAAGTGCCTTTACTGCTCGGAACCGTTAGCTAATAACCTTTTCCCACCCCGGAGACTGCCTGTGCGGGCTGGAGGGCTTAATCACACGCTAACATGCGTGTGGGAGGGGCCCGGCACCAAGGGCAGCGCTGTTATTTTAGAGCCAGTTTAAGGGGGAGCCCATGTCTCCAGCTGCTCGCTGGGTGGCGGGGAGCCCGCCTGCTCCCTGCCTGGCAGAGCCATGCCGCCCCCGAGACGTCAGCCTCTTCCCCAGGCCTGCTGTTGGGCAGGGGCCTCTCCTTGTTGGCAAACACAAGCCCACATGGGTGACCCTGGCCTCCAGGCTTGTCGCTCTGTTTCCAAAGGCTGGCTCGGGCCTTCTTCCAGAAGTGCCTCCGTGGTCCCAGCTGGGGTGCCCTGTGACGCAGACCTCTGGCCCTCGCTGTGGGGCTATCCCCGTCTCAGTCTGTGGGGTCATGAACAAAAGTGGGCTCTTAAAAACTCCCATATGGAGAGATCTGAACCTGAGTGTTCCCCTCCCAGGGAAGGACTCTGGGACATGGGTGCAGGGCAGGGGAGGCTGTTTGGAATAAGGTCCTAGTGCAGGCCTGGTCACTGGCCATGGGTCCTTCTGTGGCATCCTGGCACGTTCTGAGCAGGGAACGGAGCAGAACTTCCTTGTCCACTCAGATGCAAGACCTGACGTACAAGCCTGGACACCTCATTTGAAGGTCATTTTGGTTGTTGCTGCTGTTCTCAGGGGATTGTGAGCGTAATATTAAGTTTACAGGGTCCAAAACGTTCCTCCCTTTTTAAGACTGGCACATGCTACAAGTACTCCGCAGAATTGTCAGGCACCACGTCACTCACACATCTCGACTTAGGAAGGGCAGGGTGCTGCTCTACCGGCATTTGTCTGGAGACTACAGAACTTCACTCCAGGCCCTCGGTGAGCTCAGAGCCCTTTGTCAAGTCCCTTTGCATGGCAGGACCCCCACAAGACAACGGAGGGCTCCGAGCTGGGAGAGCCGCTCCCGCCGTGCGAGGATGAGAGCTCAGGAGCGCCGGGACCGCGGAGCCAGTCCACACCCTGGGCCGCCCAGCCTAGGCGAACCCTCCCTCCTCCTGGTTTTCAAAACCTCCGCAGACTCCTGAGCGTCCTCTGGACAGCAGAGCGCTCCAGCTGCTGCGGCCCAGCGGGCAGGCGCAGGGCGAGCACGGCTCCCGGCTCCCTGGTTGCCTGCTCCCGTGAGGTGGACTCTCCAGGGAGAGCCGGAGCCACACTGGAGGCACCAGAACCCCAACCCCGCCCCCGCCTGGGCTTGATTCCTGCTGAGACACGGTCTCCGCCCAGGCCGCCCACACGGACGCGGGGAGACCAGAGGCTCTGCCCTGATTTTGAGGTTCAAAATTAGAGACAAAGCCAAAACTTTTGCTTAGTTGCTCACCTTGCGTTTGTCATTATTTGACAAATACTCGAACTTCTTGGGAGCTATTTATATTTTCAGCCTCTCCTCCTTCTTACTGTAATGAGCACCATATGTTTACTACCTACTGTATAAAACAGTATTTCCCTGAATTGCCCCAAGCCTGCCTTAACACAAGTCAGATGGCCCTCAGTCACACCATGCTGACAACACGTCTGGCTCAGCGCCCGTCACTCAGGACTTCAGCACCACCACAGCCGTGATCACGGCAGAGGTCCCCGGACCTTGTCGGTGCTCGGTGCTGAGCCTGGTGGTCCCGCGTCTGCCCGGAGCCTCCTTTTCTATTCTCCCTCCTGCTCTTTCACGGAACCCAACCTTTGTCCCCACTGGTCCTCCCAGCCTTTCACCCTTTAGTGCCAGACTGACTTCTAGCACTCAGCCTGGGCCCACGGTCAGGCCAGTGCTGCCCTCGCATGACGGTGCCCCCACCCCACTGGGCCTGAGTGGCTAAGCCCCGCCCTGGCTCCCACCGCGGCCGGTTGCTCCCAGGCCACCGAGTCCGCCTGCAAATCGTGGACTTGCTCTGCGAGGCGGACCCCGCAGTCAGGGGTCCTCTCCACTCCGCTTTGGCGCTGCTCTTTCAGTGGCCTCTCGGCGACTCAGCGGTTTGAGTGTTCAGTGCTCTCCTCTACCTTGATACGCCACCTCACCCTCACTTTCAGAGGCCACTTGGCATGACCCCTATAGAGACTCCTTCATCAGAGCCTTTTCTGACTCACGTTCTTTATAAAACTGCCAAAGCTCTGAAAGCTGGAAGGGACCTTGGCTGCCACGTCCACGTGGACCTACAGTTTGTAATTTCTCCAGTTGTAGAGTGCTTTCTTCGTGCGAGGCCTTCCATGGAGGCCCAGCACGTCCCTTCTGTAGCAGCCCCCGCGGGCGGTTTCCAGGCCCCCCGGCCTCTGCTGAGAGCACCTGGAAACCCGTGGTCAGTCTGGCCCTCTGCTTCCCGGGGGAGGGCCGAGACTCAGAGTGAGTGAGTGGCCGAGGTCACAGGGCTGCCAGGACTCCTGATGCCAGGTCTCCGTTTCCGTCTTCCAGTTCGTCCCGGAGGCACAGGAACCCTCCTCCCGGTGTACGTTCAGCGTCTCACTGTCTCTGATGTCAGTCTTCCCTTCTCCCAAGCCACGCCTCCTGTAGCCCTCGTGTCCTCCCCAGCTCCTCACTGGCTCTGCCTTCGCCCCTGCCACGGGGACTGCTAGCCTTCCTGTGCCGTCCCTCCCCTTTGCACGCTCCCCCTCCCTCCGAGAGACGCCCCGTCCTGGCCATGCCCCGAGCAGGCGGGTGCCACAGCAGCCCTCCAGGCTGTGACACGGCGCTCCAGAACCCACAGCAGCCCTCCAGAACCCACAGCAGCCCTCCAGAACCCACAGCAGCCCTCCAGAACCCACAGCAGCGCCCTTCTCTCCATGTGCAGCCGCTGCGTCCCCTCATGCTGCCATCGCCTGGTGCCCAGCCGGCCGCCCCGTGCTGCAATCCCTCCTCTCAGGGCCTCCAGGCTGGCGCTGCTGTCTTGTTTGCTCCGTCTTATTCTGCTGTGCGTTGGGTTCGGCCTTGGTCTTCTGCCGTCCAGTCCTTTGTGAACAAGCCTTGTCCTGTCTCCTTTTTCGTGGTTTATCCTGATAGCCTCAAGTGCATGCCCAGCCCTGGCCAGGGCGGAGCCCATGCTGCGAGGCCTGCCATCTCCACGACACCTGCAGGTCCCTCAGGCCTGCTGCAGACTTGACTTCCGTTCAGACCGAGGCGGCTCCCTCTCTTCATCAACTCCCTGCCCACCTGCTGCCGCCCCCACAGACATCACGAGGCAGCTCTTGTATCCCCGCCCCGCCCTGCCCCGCAGGGTGCACTTTCATCCAGGTTTTCTCACCGCATAGCAGCCCTCACTCAGGCCTCATCACTAAGACTTTAAACCCTTAGCTTTAAAAGCGGGGTCTCTCCCTGCCCCCTGAGGTGCGGCCCTCAGGCTGCTTCTCCCACCAGAGTGTCAGCAGAGTTGTGTCCCACTGCCGTCTGGGCGGGTGGGGGCAGGGGATGTGGCCAGACCAGGATGCCTTGAATGCATGTTGTAATCCTGGTACTGCAACTTTGCTGCGTATGCACAAAGCAGACACCTAAATGTGGATGTGCATGGAGACAACAGGGACCCTTTCTATAGAGCTCTTGAAGATGGTGGCATGTAAGCCTCTGAGGAAATGACAGACTAGAGACTGCCAGCTTCCCTTCACGGGGACGATCGTGTTCTCTTTCCAGCAGAGCCTCACGCTCTCCTGAGATGCACTCTCAAGTGACTTCCTGGTGCCAGCTCCCCAGTCCCTGCTGGTCTGCAACTTGGGCCATGCCCAAAAGCCAGAGTTGCAGGGTCTTTGATCATCTTCTCTCCAACCCTGCTCCTGGAATCAAGACAACAGAAAGGTCTAGAACTTATGGATTTTGAAGCCTTCCTAGATGTGTTTCCTTGGGGTTGCTGTCTGGGGCCAACTTCCAGAAACTCAAGTGCTTGTTTTGCATGATTCCAAAAGAGGTGGGAAAAGGTTTGGACTGCTGCTTAAACTGTAATTAGCATCGTATTTTAACAACATTTTGACAATAACTGCTCTCTGACAAGGCTGAGAAAGCTGCAGTGCAGCCTCCCTGTGCGCTGCCAGGGTGAGTGCCAGCCACCCTGTGCACTCCGGGAGCACTGCCGGCCCGCGCAGCCTCATCTCCCTGTCCTGCTGCGGGCTCGAGGCCCTTCTCTCGGCCAGCATCGCCAGGCAGCCTCACCCACGGCCGCCCTCATGCCCTCCGCCAGAGCCTGAGGCCGTCCTCAGAGGAGGGGAGGAAGATGCTGCTCTGCAGAGGGAGCGGCTCAGACTGGTCCTGCTCGGCACCTCGTCTGCAGGTCCTTTCGGTGACCGGGCTGAGTGCCTTATACCCCAACGTGGCAGGAACACAGCCCACTCCCCAAAGCAGAACCTGAACGGGCTGGGGGCTCCACTCAGGCCATTGCGGCTCCTGACCGCACAGGTCAACCCCACACTCTGCTTCCTCAGGTGCCGGTCACTGGAAAAGCAGCAGCTTGCTGTTATGACCACAGGTGACTCTGGTAGCATTTCAGGCATCTCTGCTTCCCTTTTGCTGCAGGTGAGGACACACGTGCCTGTCATCTCCTGGTGCATTTTCTTACCATCTGCTTTTCTTCTGGGTCACATTACTCAGAATGGAAGTGTGAGGAGCAGGCCCGAGGACCCCACCTGGCCGTCTCCTACGAGGAGGGGCGAAAGGACCAGGAAGAACAGACTTTGGGGCCACTCCCACATACTCTGAATTTCTCTGAAGTGATGAAAAGGGCTCAAGATCTCAGAGAGCCTCGCAGAAGAGCTGAGACGAGCCTCAGCAGTGTAAGAGCACCCCAGGCCTCCGCTCCCCGCAGGGCTGCCCCCAATGCTGCTGTTTCTTGCTGCAGCTCTGATTTCTGCCCCTCCTGGTGGCGAGCCACCCTCCTGACTCCCAGACACTGCCTCCCTGCCCACGCCCCAGGAAGAGCCCAGCCCCTGGGCTCACGGTGCCTACTCACGCCAGCCTGGCCCCGCAGTTCTCGCCCTCGATGTCGCCTCCAGCCACGTTCTCGGTGTTGACAGACTCGGTCTCGCTGGTGGGCATGCTCACTGCAAGAGTCAATGGGATGCAGGCAAGGCGTGAGCGGGGAGAGAGGAACATTAGTTTGCAACACACCCAGTGCCGAGACCCAGCACCGGCAGGAGGAGAGCCTGAGTGTGCTGGCCACTGACCGGCAGGGTCAGGGCCCCGCACTGGCCTAGCCAGGCTCGGGATCTCCTGCACCAACCGCCTGCTCTTGTCTGGAGAGGTTTTGCTGTAGGGGTGCTGTAAGCCAGTGGGAATGTGGGAGGACATCTGAGCGGAGAAATACTGACCACTGAACCCTTTCTCTGCCTTCCATTCTGTGGCCTCAGAATTGCTGTGGGCTTTCCCATTTGCTTCTGCTGCTCGCCATGGAAAGAGGAGCTTTCGTGAAAATATGGTATTTCCTTTTCTTCTTTCCACCCACCAACTCTGAGGGGGTCCCTCCCCGAGACCAGGGCCCAGTTCACTGGTAGAAAGGGCACACTGCCGCCTGCGTGGGCGATCACATGGTGTGGAGGGCCCCCCATTCCTCGCAGGTGCTGGGTCCCAAGTCCAGTACATGTAGGGCTGTGCCCAGGACAGAGAGCTCAGAGGGAATCATAGATTAAGGTTCAAACTAGCACTGTGGACATCAGGAGTGAAGGAGGGGTGAGTGTGGAATCCACAAAATTAACTTTAAATGTGGCCTAAAGGCAGCCTGCAGGGTCACTTGTTCCCCTTTAGCCACCCTGATGCTCCCAACTCCAGGCTGATCTGGGTATGAGCCATTTAATTCCACTAGAGCCAACTCATCCAGTCCAGACCCAGCCTCTTCCCAAGGTAGCGGGGGGCTGGATTTCCAGAACAGTGACAGTCTTCCAGCTTAGAACCCAGGTTTGTGGGTTAGAGGAAGCCATTTCTTTTTATTAATATATTTTTCCTCTAAATAAAAGTTTGACTCACAGAATTCTTCTTCACCTTCTATGCCCCTCTGAACATGACACAAGTCCCTGTTTCACCAGCCCTGTTCTCTAGAGTGGCCATCCGTGCCGGTTCCGCTCTCCTTCCAGAACAGCACTCCCCGTCTGGTAGGAAGGTCGCTAGCCCTCGGCAGACACAGAATGCACGTGCGCGCACACACACACGCGCAACTACCGCAGCGCCAGCCAGCAAGAGAAATGTCCTCCCGTCCGCTCCGGCAGGCGCCCACACACATTCGCACACGGGGCACAGGAGAACATCACCATGGGTTTCTGTGGACTGACTAAACTAAGCAAACTTCCCCTTCTTCTGATCAAGCATGCCCGCCGGGGTGCCTCCTTGCACAGACAAGACTCAGTGCCAAGAACCAGGGACAAGACATTGACAGAGAACATGCAGTCAGCCATGGGCAAAATAAAAAACAAGGAGCTCAGCTTTCACACAGAACATCCATTTTAATCTCTGAAAATAAACCAAAATAAAAAAAATTGAAAAGAAATAAACCAAAGCACACAGAAAACATCACAAAATATAACTAAACCCCTAAATCACATGAATTAACAACACAGAACAAATGAGGGGCCCCGGAGGAAGGGGAGACTCCAACAAGGGCTCTGGTCTGCAACTGTGGATCTAATTAGTGATTTGAGGAGATGGCTTCTGAGAGCGGAGCTGCCACTTGACCATGCTGCCTCCTGAGGGAGGTGCCTCTTTTGCAGGCTCAGGCGGGTGACCAATAAAATCCAGCTGTGGCACTGGTACCCTTCACCCGTCGCTACGGGCAGGTGACTTGTCTGTTCCCCACACAGGGCTACATTGCAGAATTCCATCTGCCATGGACTCAGGGGCTCCCTCACCACCCACAACTGGACCATGTCACCTGCAGGTGGAAAAACAACCCACCGACCCACTGGCCCCTGCATCCAATTCCATCATTCAATTCCGTTCTGCAAAGTCCCAGTGAACACCTTGGGCCTGACCACGTCTGAAACACAGATAGATCTGGTCTTCATCAGTATAATGGGCACAGGAGTTAAGCTGCCATCCAGGAGTGATCTTCCAAGGAGGCTGGTAAACAAGGGAGAAGAACTCTGCCACTGGGTCTGGGCTGCTGTTGGGGAGGAGGGTGCCCTGGCAGAGTGTGAAGCCCCCAATCACTGCATGGGGAGGAGGGGAGCTCTGGATTCTGCGTGGATTTGGGGTTCTGGATGCCAAACACTTTAGCTAATTGCTCAAGAGTTTTCCCATCTCATCGGATGGAGCCGGCGTGGACAGCGTCTGCGCGGCCACCACACAGGCTGCTGAACCAGAGGCCTGCGAGGCAGTCTCGGCTTCTCAAGGCGGAGTGGCAGCTGGGGAGGCGGGGAGTCTGCGGCCCCTCCGCGGGCGCCGGCCGCCGGCCAGGAATGGGCCAACGGCCGCCCTGGCCAGCAAGGGCTGAGGGGAGGGCAAGCCGGGCTTTAGGAGCTTCTTTATTTCCACCTACTCTCCTGGAACTCACTGTTTTCAGAACTTCCTCAAATGCCACTTTTCAGTGAGAATTCTGAACACTACTTCATTACAGAAAAAGGCCAGGCTTATTTTTAACCTACATAAAGGGTCATGTCTCAAACACACTCTTCTTTAAAATATAAAGTATAGAATAAACAGAAACATCACAACCAGCAACATTTGCTTTTCCATTTATCAAAAATGCTATGTGAGAAAAGCACTGGGAGTTAGGAATGGAAATGAATGACTTGGCCCAAGTTCTGAAGAAAGGTATGTCTCCGTTTAGGATGGTAACAGTCACTAGCGTGAGAATCTCATAGTGAATGGTCTTTTGTTCGGGAGCGTGGGGGGGAGTCACCGGGCTCTACCTGTCCCCAGGGCTGGCTGAGGGCAGAAGCCCCGGGCAGTGGAGGAGAGCCGGGCCACCGAGGCCTTTCGCCCAGAGGCGTCATCCAGCTTCTGTCTTTGACGCCCTGAGTGTCCCATCCTGCTCATTCCAGAAGTAACCATAAGATAACTTTAAAAGCAATAGGAAGAGCTTGATAAATACCCAGCCATTTAAGTATGACTGAATTTGACCAGGGCTGGCCTTTCATGGGGGCCAGGTTGGCAGCCACCTGTGTGAAAAGTGACTTGGAGATCCTCTAAGCCATCTCCTTTGATGGCTTGCAGAGGTCTCCATTAGATCTGCTCTTTTGAGTCAAGTTATATATCTAAATGTTCCTTGCTGAAATGAAATATCTCACCTGGAAGGAGCAATATTTTTAACATATTAGTGTCTATTAATTTGTAATAGTTTATACCATAAGCACCTGAGGGATTAAAACAGGTGAAATGGTATTTGTGTTCCTATTACTAAGGGATTAGACAGTGGTATTATACCTGATTCTTTTGGGGAAACTTCTAGGAAACTGAATGTCCAAACCGTTGAAAGTTTAGAACCATAAATGCTAGATACTTCTTCTATAGATGACATGGAAGAGCTGATCCCTCCTTTGCTCACTCAAACAATGACCTGGTTGGCAACGAAGGCAAAAAGATGGCCAAGGGCATGTTTTCTCCAAAGGCAGCCCACTCCATTGCCCTCGGAAGCGAAGCTTGGTTGTCTGCTATCTGCAGACGTCATGATAACACACCCTCAGTGAGACACAACGTGCTTTATCTAACAAAGTTGGGAAGGAGAATGCTGAAGATGGAGCTTATTTTCCCACTTTCCAACTTTACCATTACCAGGTGCTGTGGACCAACTGTAGGTCTCCAAGATATTCTATTTCTTGGCTTCTGCTGAGAAGATTCCAGAGGAAAATGAGACTTCTTTGAAAGTGTGATGAACAGCTGCCATTGTAAGTGACGGATAATATCACTGCATTTGTAGAAACATCATCAATGGCTACAATGCATTGTAAAGACTCCATTTTGCCAACAACTGGTTACACCCCTGAATTAATGTCTATTCCCCCTCACCTCCGAGCGGCTACTCCTGCTGGCCACTCTTGCTTGAACGGTAGCAGCAGGACAATTTCTGTTTCAGGAGAGGTGTGCAGATGGTGCTGCACAGCAACCAAGTCTCCCCAGCCTGCTTGGAGAACAGTTGTGTGGATACTGGGGAGATTATAGTAAGTCATTTTCTCCATCAGATAATCTCCTAAAACTAGAAATCATACAAATTATGGTGGGGGAGGAGGACTTGCAGCCATTGTGAAGACTGGCATTCGCTGGTATGTCTGGGCTTGCAAACCCTCTGAGGCTTTATTCACCGAAATTTGGGAATCATCCACTAAATACCAGTTGGTGCTTTGAAAGTGTGGCCGCCCAGATCAGCTGGCCAGCCCTTCCGCAGCTGCCTCAGAAGAGAAAGAGCAGGCTCACAGCACAACCTCACCTTCCCCAGACGAAGCGAATGAATGCTCAGTAAAACTAACCGCTGGCTCTTGACAGGTCCTTATACTGCTTAAAACAAATCTTCAAGTGGCGAGTCTGCTGCAGGCTGTGCCAGTGCGTTAACATTCATGCTTTCCTTAAAAAGCAATTGGATCTCATTAGGCTAACAAGATGTGTGTCCAAAGATGGCCAAAACTATCCGCATGAATGAAAAATGACTCCAGAAGGGGTCTGGCAAAAGTCTGAGAGTCAGAGCAACTTCAGTTTTGATAAAAAAGAAAAAGGCCACTGAGGTTACTTAGCAATAAATCCACAAAGGACACAGTGAGCAAAATCTTCCAAAGAATCCCTGCTTCATTCTCTTCCCTCTTCCCTCCCCTGCACCTGCCCCCTACCCCTGTTCCTGGGAATGGGAGGGGCTGGTGGAGAACCACCTGCATATAAAACACCTGGCCTGCTCCTGAGGTCCCTGTCCCGGATCTTTTCACGTGTCATGACTGAGTGGCATCAGAGCAAAGCCCCATGTGAAACAATGAGGAGCGAACTCCGGGAGACATGAAAGAAATCTGCCTATTTCCGAGTCCGTTGGTCACCCAGCACAGCTCTGCCTTTGTCCCAGGGATGGGGCTTTGCGGTGTCCTGTTGTGACAGCCAGCAGGGATGGCTTGCCTCCCGTGGGATTTGCTAAGAG